AAACTCTCTGCATTTATTTTTTGAGTCCTGAGTGATATGTTAGAGAATTTTCAAGAAATCTCTTAATAAGTGATTACAATGTGTATTTAAAATTAATAATGTAAATTATTTATTACCTGACCTTTTAATGTTTGCCTTTCCAATGTCAATTGAGAAAAGTATTTTAGCTATTCTTAAATACAGTAATTTGAATTCAACTGTAATCAGAATTTTACTGTTTCAGTACAGGGCATGGTAACATCATTAGGGTACCTGAACCGTGTATACCCTGGCTAAGGTCAATACCTAACCCTATTAGGTTAGGCAAACTAATGATCATAACCACATGCTTATAAATCGTAACATTTGAATTATTTTAACTTTAATTTGAGCTGTGTAATTTCTACACCTATCTTGTCTGTTTTTTCTTGTTTGTTTGTGATTCAGATAGTCAGCTACCACTTTTCAAAAAAACATGGTGATACTGCAAATGCAACATCCTTCCCCCCCACCCCGTCCCCCCCGTCATTGTCTTCTTTCCTTTTCCCTAACCTCTTCATGATTAGGGAAGTTGATGTATTTTGAATCTTTACACAACATGGAAAAAGAGCTGTGGATTTATATAATTTACTCCTTTCCTACATCAAAAAGGATATACTTTTTTTCAGCTAAACCACGGCTCCCTTATTCCTTGAGGATGTAGTCCTATAGTGGGAGCACTGATAAAGTGCACCATCTCAGTAGGATGTGTCTGAAGCAGAGTGTGTTCCGGAGGCAGGGAGAGAGGCTCTACGTGAATCTGCGTTAGGCAGAGAGTGCTGGTAAAAGGTTCTTCCTCTGACTTCTGTTTCCTTGTAATAAAAAAACCTACACAGTGCATATCTCTGCCCAAGATGGAAAGGAACCAGGACTCCATACTTAATGTTGCAGTATTTCAGCACCTTAAAGACTTAAGCATGTTCATTTTTTCAGCTCCCTTTTGAGGTCAGGCACTGCTGTCTCTTTAGCAGCTGGGGCTCCGTGGCCCAGGGTGACAGAGCTATTTCTGTGTCTCTGGAGGGCTCTGCGGCAGGAGTGAGTTGAACTGTGGATTCCTCATTCTTTCTTCTCCCCTCATAACCTCTTCTGTACACATCTGTTATCAGGGCACAGCGTTGCCCTCAGGTGGTCGTGCCCTCTTAAAATCTAATTCTCAAAGGTATTGGGTACCTTCAACTCTCATTACCTGCTGTTGTTACTTCTAACATGAATTCTTTTTGCCTTGTGATCCATTGCGCTACTTAATTAAACTATACTCATGAAACTGTGATTCAAAATGAATCTGCGCAGAAGTAGAACGCAGGATTGAAATAAATATGTATGATCTTCTAAATCAGTGGTTCTCAACCTTTTTGAAGTTGAGTGGCACTTGAGAAAATTGGCTGTGCTCTGTACCTCGCTGAGGTCAGCTCTGAACACAGAAGGAGCTGTCACCTTGCTCTTTCGTTAAGTACTTGTGTACTTGCTGCCTTTATGGAAATTATAGTAAATCTGCTTATAATGTGATTGGCTACATCATTCAGTTCCATGTATCATCCTGAAATCAGTCTGTTAGGGACTATATGTTTATTAGGATTTCCTACGGGAGAATACATGTGTTATTTGGTGTAGTATAGGAATAGTAAGTTCTATACTTACTGCAGAAGTATTGGATATACTACACCTGTGAAATGCAGTGATGTATTTCATGAGCAGTGGATCTGTCCCATAAATCCTGGCATTTCTGTGTATTCATTGTACAGGCAAAACTCATTGATTTTGGGGTTGGGTTTGTTTTTTTTTTCCTGGGTAAGGTATGTGTGTATATGCTGTATAACGCTGTAAATCTGATAGCTGACGGACATGCCTTACTGTGCATGGCTGTGTGTGTGTATTCGGAGTCTCTCCCACACTTTGCTAGCAGGTACATCATGTCATTGTTACACATGCTATGAATGTGATGTTTTCCAGAAAACTTGTGGTATGTGTAGTGTATAGCTGATCCTTACATCTGCAGGATTTCTTCATATACAGCAGCCTGAATAGAGCTACAGCACCCCTGAAGCTGAAAATCTGGATAAAATTTTCAGGTGGAAGAAAAGACAGTATTAACCAGAGAACCTAGAAATACAGTGGCCCTACCTAAGTAAAAACAAACCACGTCCCCCAAAACCAACCAAACAAACCATTTTCAGCTCTTCTTTATCTGGCCAAGGAGGGAAGGGGAGGAGGTACCCCGATAAGGGGAAATCCAGCTAATTGAAGACACTCTGAGGAGTGCAGTGCAGGACATTTGAAAACATGGGATTCACTTCTAAACAGAGACGGAATTGTTTGCATTAGTTACTGGTGCTCCAGGAGGATTAATTAGCCAGCACCAAACTGGCCCTGTACCTTTATGCTGCACCCAAACTAATAACCCTACTGACCTTCAGTCCCTGGATTGCTGCCTTTTCCCTGTTTTTCCAAAGTGGGGGCTCCGGCCTGCCTGCCAGCCTTCCTTACGCCCATGTTCCAGCACCGCCTGTGAGCTGCCATCACCTCAGAGCTGAGGCAGGGATCAGGGGAACAAATCCTGTCGGCCTCTGCTGATTCACTCTAGGTATGCTCAGTGGTATCTGCATCTCCCTCTCTGAAAGTGTGGTTTGGAGATACTAGCACTAAGATCAGTTCAAAGTAAGATCTATGTCATGTTGCCCCTGGAATGGGATTATATAGCACAGGTTGGCGTGTATTCTGCTTTCTATTTTCAGAAGAGCATGACCATCAGCATTCCTGAGATTATTTTTGGTTTTATCAATTCCTTGACAGTCTTTGATAGCATAACTCTTTCTTGTATATGTAATACGTCTAAGCTTGTGTTCATTTTGTAACTATGAAAGTTACCCAAAGGTTAGTTAGATTTTTAGTAAGACACCGTTCAGTAAAAGTGAGATTTTCACATCCAGATTTCTCTTATTAATGTGTTGACAGAAATTTAGCTAAACTTTTAAAAAATGTGCACTCTTCTGTTGTTGAATTGCTTAGATATGCTTGTATAGAGGTGGGAGAGTTTGTTATGGTTTTGATATAGACAAAATGTACTAAAAGGGGATATAAAAAGCAGTTGCAATGAAAATTCAAATTGCCATCTGCGCGTTTCCATTGCTAACAATATTGCCAACTTTTGTTTAACAAACAGATGAGCCTAATGTAAAATTACTAAGAGCAGATAGTAAATTGGACATATGCCTCAAATCATTTGATCAAATTTTATACACAAACTCAGAAGGAAGACAATTCCATTTTTATAGTGTGCTGGTTTGTAATGACAGTGGAAAAAATACCACTGAAATGAACGTAAGATGATACAAAGAAAGAAGTTCCCGTTGTTTAGTAGAAAGCAAAGTTTTGGCGAGAAGGTCAACAGAAATCTTAAGTTATGGAATTTGAAGGATATAAACTACATTTGTATCAGTAGTCTTTTTTGCCTAGGGCAAAGAAACCAAAGAATATGTAATGGGGTGGTAACCCAGAAATGTTTGCCTTTTCAGAATTGTTAGAGCATGGTTGTTTCCCCTCAGCCAGGTCAGGTTCTTTCTTCAGGGTCTGTATCGGTTGTAGGCAAGAGTTTACTATCATTATAAGCCATGTCACCAGATGCTTTGAAATATATTCTTTATCCCAGATATTAAAGTTGACTTTTTTTTTTTTCTTTTAAAAGTCGCTGTCCTGGTGAGGGCTGGAAGCAGAAATGCAGTGTTAAGATAAAGTTCCTTCTGCTGTGACTGAGATGTAGGCCCATGTGACTATTAGTTTTTCAGCACATCAGATTTAAGTCATTTGCAAATATGTCATAAATCATAGAATGGTTTGGGTTGGAAGGGACCTTAAAGATCATCTAGTTCCAACCCCCCTGCCATGGGCAGGGACACCCTCCACTAGACCAGGTTGCCCAAAGCCCCATCCAACCTGGCCTTGAACACTGCCAGGGAGGGGGCATCCACAGCTTCTCTGTCCTCTTAATAGCGCAGCTGCCTGCACCTTCTGCTGTCTCCTACCTGAAGTTACTATTTCCTTAGTAGTGCTTCTTCAACTGTTTTTTCTTGGCTGTTCTCCAACCTAAATCTATGAAGTGATCCTTAAAAAAATCTCAACAATCTTCCCCAATTTTATTTGCAAACAGGTTTTTTTGCAGGTCTAGCTTAGAACTTGGTCACTCCAACATATGTCACAGCACTGCTGAGGGGCAGCACCCTTTAGCCATGGCTGCAATGATCATCTGGGAGCAGAGGGAATATTTAGACTGGATCTGTTGCTGATAGCCTAGTTGATGTGGAACCACAGCCAGAGCCAGCCCTGAACTTTATGCTGTATGTTGTACTCCTGCTGTCTAAATCTGCTTGTATAAAGCCAGCAGAGTAATTTCTACATTGCACTGAACTGCACCATGTGCACCTACTCTGTAAGAATGGCAGAAGCTTGCTGTACTATGTTTATCCGATTGCAAAAATGTACGGAAACCGCACAAAGAACAACAACATGATATTCCGTGCACTATAATTCTCTAGAAACAGTGCTAGAATGATTGTGAGGAGAGGTGATAGAACTCTGTGGAGGCATTTGTCTGGAACTAAAGATACAGAAATTCTGCATCTTTGAAAAGATGCAAGATTTCATTCACTTGTTCGAAACGTTAGAAAGAATCCATGTCTGGATAAGTTAAAGAATCCGGAAGTTTGTGACGTGGTTTGTCTGCTTAGCTTGTGCCTCTTGAGCTTCACACTGAGTCAAATGTAGGTAAGGCATCAGAAGGAGGGATGTCACAGTTCAATGTTTAATTCCAATTTCATACTATAACATAATTTAGAATATAAACATCAGTCTTGCAGTTTATTGCAGGTAAGCAATATTTTATATTCTTGAAAAGTAATACTAATTTAGTTGATAAATAGACCACACTAAGGAGAAAAAGTGGTCCTAAAATAAAAAAAGATTTCTTTTTTTCTCCTTCATTTTGCTAGCGCTGTTGCTGAGGCTGAAGGAATTGAACCATTAGTAAATACCTTGAACGCTCAGAGAGATGGAGCCATTGCTAATGCTGCCACGGTGCTAACGAATCTGTCCATGCAGGAGCCATTCCGTGTAAATATCCAGAGCTGCGGTATTATGAGTGCGCTTGCGGAACCGTTGCACTCGACCAACACCCAAGTGCAAAGCAAAGCAGCATTCGCTGTGGCTGCGTTTGGTTGTGATGCTGATGCAAGAGCTGAGGTAAAACACTTCTTCGAGGTTGCAGTTATTTGTAACATTTCTAAATCCTGAGATTGGTGTTATACTTACCTAGGATCTTTGCATTTTGTATGTCTGTCCCAAAAGTCCCGGGGTTTCTAGATAGTAACTCATTTTTCACTTTCATCATGGGCTTGTTCAGATGAATTTAGCTCCATTTGTTATGAGAACTGGGAAAGGGTTTTCTTTAATTTGTATTTTTACTGATGTATTTGCTCGCACCAAGTTAGTATTTTACAGCTTTCCAGTGGCTTCAACCAGGGCTATATCTTAATCCCCATGTTTATGAGCATTAGACATTAAGGTTTCTCTCAGCTGCAACTGTCAGCTGTATTTTGAAGGTGTCAAAAGAGGACAGAAGTTCTGTCCTCTTTGCTCTCACTCAGTGTTGTTCTATTGCCCACTTTCAAGGCCTGAACAGCGATGTCCGATCTTGATTTATAAGATACTGGATGTGCATGGAGTAAATGTAATTCAAATAAAATATAATTAGTCCCTTGATCGGTGGCATCCAGCAAGTTGAACTTTGCGCTGTTTATCAATGGTCATATTATTTTCTTTTCATAAATAAGGATGATGCTATGTGCATTCATAGATCATGAGCTGGGGTTTTCTCATGGGTCAAGGCTGTTAATTAGGACATGAATAAGGGGCATAGATAATTAATCTACTTCTTTCAGTGTCCTTAAAATGTCTTTCTCTTCAAAAATCCAAATGAGCAATATTTCCTCCAGCGTGTATAGGAAAGATACTGTAGCACACAAGAGAATAGGATGTTAATAAGATTGTCATACATACAATACAATACAAATTCAAAGATATTGTGATGTAAATTAGTTGCTAGGAGGCAACAGAACAGAGAAAAAGCTGTGTAACTCTCCGTGGCAGTGTTGGATTGCATGGTCTCTTCAGTTTCCACACTGCAATCTAATAACTGAAAAGCAAGCCAGAGCCAGAAGGGACGTGTGCCTTGCACCACTCTGACGCTCACTTCAGCTCTAGCCTATGCAGGGTTCACAGCAGCAGAAAATCCCCACAAATGGCCTTTCTACCAGCCCAGCGTAGCTTTTCCACAATGCTTGAGTGTTTTGGAAGGTGAATTTTACAGACTGTTCTTGCTGGGACAGATGAAATATGTAAGTGGCAATGTCTTCATTTATTTTTTTAGTTAAGAAATGCAGGTGGACTGCGACCACTCGTTGAATTGCTGCATTCTAAGAATGAAGAAGTCAGAAGAAATGTCTGTTGGGCTGTTACGGTCTGTGCAAGTGATGAACTAACTGCTGTTGAACTATGCAGGCTAGGGTGAGTAGAAATAATATCAAGGGACAGAGGGAAGATTTTGATGAGAGAACTCTTATTAAGTTGATCTCTACATATTTAGAGCAGAATAACAAAGTTAAGCTATACTTTCTGGTAAGCAGAAACTACTTTTGCACCACAGATGTTGCAGATGAAATGTTATTGATTTTAAGTAACAGAAATCTTAAGAAAAAAATGCAAGCCTGAAAAGAGAACTATCTGGAATTATAAAAACATTTATTGTTTCTGTGAGTGAATTAGGCTTTATATTGAAGATGTGATTATATCAGTCAAAATTAGGGACTACTGAAATTAAGGTTTCAGGCTAAGTTCAATATACAGTAAATTGTACTTATTACACACAGGCTAGATTTGGTTTACAAACTCTGGTTAACTGCAGGTGTGCTGAAGTGTCATGTGAAAGAGACTCTATTGTATTCCTTCTTAGAAACTTCCAAGTTCCATATATTAATATCTGAATTACAAAAGCTGGTTTAGGTTACAAAAATTACGGCACAGGGTTCCTTATATGGGGTGAACCTTTTAGTTATTGTTAAATTAAAATATATGTAATTGCCCTGCTCCCTCTGCTGGACATTTCTCTGATTACTGCACAGATGATACTTAAAATCCATCTGTGAGGGGATTCTGCAGAGTGAGACTCTCAGAAATTTAGGTCTGGAGGGGCCCTCAAAGGTGATGTTATCCATCTGCCCACTGTAAGACTGAATCAGGTACACTGACATATTTTTGCTTGTTAAGTGTAAATACCAATACTGAGGGGGTTTCACTACTTTCTGAGATAACCTGTGCCAGTGTTGAAGTATCCTTACGATTAGAAGGGGGTTCTGGGTTCTAATATCCCTTACAGCAAATCATTTCAACTACATGTTGTCCTACTGTCGGTGGGACTGAATAAGCACCTTCTTACGGCAATTTGAGTTTGACTTACTGAATTTTCTCATGTTCCATGGTCCTCTCAGTTTCCTTTTCATGACAAAGTAAAAATGTTAAACTTCTTTTTGTTTCGAAATCTTGTATCATTTTGTCACACCTCTCTAAATTTCTCTATTTACGTCATTTTGAAGTGCCGTCTCCCAGCCTGGATGAAGTGCTTCAGCTGAGGTCATACCACCATCAAATAAAGCTCAGTAATTATTTTCTATATCTTGCATATAGTACTGTTCTTATTTAATCCCTTCTTTGTGACAGTATTGGAGTTGGAGTCTAATTAATGTGTCCTTCCAGTTTGACATCATATTATTGATAATAATACATTAAGCATAGTTTTTCAACCAGTCAGGCACTACTTCATGTTATTTTCATGTAGATCATACTTCCCTGACTTGCTTATGAGTATTCAAGTAGGAATATGTGAAAAAACTTATTAAAGTCAAAACATATCTCAAAGTCAATTCATATCTCACATCTACTTCTTCTGCCTATACATTAAGTCAGTTACCATATCACAGAAAGGATTAGATTGGCTTTACATGATTTATTCTTGACAAATACAGAATGGCTATTTCTTACCATCTTATCTCTTGTTGCTTCCAAACTGATTGTTTAATAATTTGCTATGGTGTCCTTTGGACACTGAAATTTGGCTGAACAATCTCTATTATTTCCTTGTTCTTCCTTTTTAAAATCTAGATGCTATCTTTTCCCTTTTCTACTCTCCTGGCACCTGGCCTGTCCTCCTTGAATTTTCAAATATAATTATAAATAGTTCAGAGGTTGCTTTTGCCAACTCATAGAGTAGTACCAGGTAAGTCTCCTCACGCAGAGGAGAGAGGCAGGAAAGACTGTCTCTCCAAACTTATTCTAGACATGTTAAGCCTACTGTTTCCACCTCCTTGTTAATATTACTGCCAGGCATCTGCTTGCAACCTTTTTTATAAAAATAGAAGCAAAAAAAGGCATCAGACACTCCAGTCTTTTCTTTGCCATCTGTTAGGAGTTTTCTTCCCACATTGAGTAATAGGCCTACATTTTCCTCTCTGACTTGCAGCATATGAAACATTTGTTTCAGTCCCTGAATAGTTGTATCTCACTTTGCCCGAGGGTCTTTTGGTTTTTTCCCTTCCTTTTTTTTCCCCTGTTGGAAGTGTCAGTGTTTCCATTTCTGTACAAGTCCTTTTTTGGCTTTTGGGTCTTCACAGAATTTTTAGTGCAGCCATGTTTGCCCCTTTTTGGCTTGTCTTTCCTCCATATGAGGATAATGTGCCATTGTGCCCGTAATGTCATTTGTCTTCAATACTGCTGTACTCGTTAGGCTTTTCTTACTCATTTTCCCCTTTAAAATTCTTCCCTGCGTTACTTGCTGGTTACCTGACTTTGTTGCAGTGTGCTGTGTGACAAACAGCCTGTATTGCTGTCCCATTATTTTCTCCCATTGCTCTCTTCTAAATGAGAAAGTTGTCATTTGCCTTGGCTGAAAAACTTGTTCTCTGGAATCCATCTGACATACCTTCAGAAGTCTACATTGTAAATGTCCACAGCTGAGACTCCCTGTGTAGTTCACAGAGAGAAATGGGCAGTCTAAATGTGGAGTTCATTATATATATATAAAAAATTGATTCCTTTGAATATGAAGAATGCCTGCATGTGTGTCTGTACACACACAGATATAAACTTGAATATACACATACACACACATATGAATGCATCTCCCTCTTTTTTCCTCCTGTTTTCATTCCTAAAAAGTTCCAAAACTGCACTATGTTATGTTCTCCTGATTCAGCTTCCTTTTTCTTCTTGGTGACCTTTTCCTAATCTTCTCAGGTCGGAAGTTATCAGTATGTGGGTTTGAGCACCAAAACCAATTTAAGGAATGAATTCCTGTCCTCCTGTGTCCCCACATGGTTATTTGTTTCTACCTCCATGCTGCAAAAATCCTGCACCTGGTGATGCTCGTGTTTCCATGCTTATGTATGTTTTGCAAATCTCTGCCAACTATCCCTCCCCAAACACAGTAACAGCCCTAAACCAAAAGGATTCACACATTGAGTAATGGAATCTACAAATTGCATGGCAAGTTGGAGAGAGAGAGAGAATCCCCAAACTGTATCATGTGGTCAGCTCTGAACGTTATTCCTTTTATTCTGCTTTTACATCCTCCTTTTTCTCAAGTTCTCTGTGGTACCTAACATCCTTCTGGTAAAAGGTTGTGGCATGCCGTCAGCATTTCTTTATGTAACTGTTTAACTGCCTAAAGGAAATGCTTTTTTGCTTTTAAGCACTGTAAGGCATTTTCCTCCCCTAGAGAAAGAACTCTGTGCAGCACAGCCAGCTCCTTGCTGGCCCAGGGGGCACCAGGCTAGTGCTTGGAAATTAATCTGGCTTGGCCTTGGCAATGCTGAAAACTAACTCTGAATTGTATAACAACAATTAATTGGCATTTAATGATTAATTAGCCTTTGTATTGTGTTTAACAGTGCTTTAGACATCCTAGAAGAAATTAATCTATCAACAGGGCGCAAAAATAACTTTAGCGAAGCTGCTCTGGAAAAGCTACTTGATAACAATCTTTCGCAAAAGTACAGCCGGATGGGATATTTATCATCAAGTAACATCATTACTGATGGATTTTATGACTGTGGTCAGGTAAGCTACTTTAAATAACTAGCTCTACTTAGAGTAAAATTTTCTTCTTGATTTAGAAAAATTAAGAGTACTATAGCAAAAGCCAGAATCTGGCTATGGAAAATACTTTGTTTTCTTGTCCTGAAGTTTCCCAGCTTTTATACTAATTTCTTTTGATTATCTTTCTTCATGGATGAAATCTCATTGTCTTCATGCTATCCCCCAGTTAGAATCTTCTTCCAAGTCCTATGTAAGCTGTGCAGTTCCTGGTTCCTTTCCAGATCCTTTCTCAGACCTTATTTCTTTTTTGCAGTATACTTAATACTAACCTGACACTGAATGGCCTATGGACTTTTTGTTTGTTTAGTTTTACGTAAAGAAGGAGAGAGTTCATGTTTTCACCTTGGTCATGACCCTTTCTCTCACAAAGCACTGTTTATATATAAAGAATGACTCCACTATGTATCGCTGCTTAGTGCTATGTTCAGTTTAACTCTGAGAAAGACTTTTCAAAATGCCCAAATGAATTAGAAATACCAGTCTTGCTGCAAATCAGTGAAATAGCTGCTCCTAAAGCTTGGTTGCTTTTGAAAATTCTATCCTATATTGTAAAGCCTGCAGAGGCAGGAACTGCCATATTCTAGAACTGTTTGGAATGACATAGTAACAATAATTACAACTTAAATTATTTATAAGCAATCTTTTCTAAGAAAATCGATGAAGAAAATGCAAATGAAGAAGAAACTAATTTCACATATTTTGAATGGCTTTATAAGTTTTTACTGTAAGTCTTCTGTTAAAGATTAGAAAGTACTCTTTAGGTATCTTTTAAATATTTTTTTTCTCTTCATCTTTAACTGAAAAGAACACCTTATCTTTTATTCTGGTTTTTTTGTAGATAAAACCTGGAGTGAAATTTTTATCTTTGGAGGAACTGAGTATGCAGGAGCTTACTGACCATCGGGCCATAATCTTCATTAATGCTAAACCACAAGAAGAGTGAGTCGTGTTTGTATCTACCAACATTTATTGCAATAGCTCATCTTTTCTGTTGTTTCTACTGTTTCCAGTACAAACTGCATAGCGTGTGTCTGTATATATATATACACACACATATATAAAATAGAGAAGCATAGTGCTTCATGTCCTAGAAGACAAGAGATTTGTATTTTATAAAGTAAGTATTTTTTCCCCCTCTAGGCAGAAGATATTTATTCAGTTGAGTTGCTTTTTTTTTAACTTAGCCTTAAAACTCTTTCATTTAACACCCTTCCTGATGGTGGGACACCTAGTGTTCTATTAGTTATAACAAAGCTTGTCATCTGCCATAATAATTATGTCATCTAAGCTAAATGTCAACATGCAACAATGAAAACTATGATTTGATGATCTTCCTGTACAGACAAATGCATGGCATTTTAAGCACAGCATCCCAAGAGGCAGGACAAAGCCAAGCATCAAGCTTTCAGGCTTGATAAAGAACCTGTGTCCATTTCTTCTCTGTTTAAGTTGAAGCCAGCCTAACAAATCTTCTTAGATTTGAATGCAGGAAGTTGGTATTGTGCTTGTTTAACTGGGAGTCATTTCCTGTAAACAGTCTCACAGATCAAAGAATGCTCTACCAATATTTTGCAAGTCCAAAACCTTCTTCTCTGTCAACACATCATATATTTGGTTTACAGTATCATTAGCTTCCCTTTTAAGCTTGTATATGACACCATAAAGATGTCTGAGAATATCTATGACAAATTAATCTTCTGTGGTCTTTGTTGATCCCTAGAGTTGTCTTTAACTATCAGGTTTTCTTTCTTTGACTTTGATACAGCTTCTTGCCTTTGCACCTTGGCAGCAGTCTTACTCCCCAGTTATTCTTGTGCCCATCATTTGGTACACCATACTTCATTTTTGATCCCTGAATCAGTATCTGGTTTATTAGTGGTTATGTTATTTCTTCCACTTATGTACTTCCTATGAATGTATTTACTGTCCTTTAGAATCAGAACTCCATTTTCATAGCTTAACATGCAAATACTATCTCTGTAAATAATATGCAAAAATATCTTGTTCAGTTTCAGTGTCCTTGCAGTAGAGGAAAAGGCACAAGATTCATCTTATGAACAGACTATCTTGTCACCTTCTATTACAAGAAAGAGCAGTAGAGAAAAAGCAAGGTATGGTCTTAAGATTTACTTGTCAATGTTCTGTTATTGCTCTCCAACATTAGAAACAGAATTCTGATTGAAAACTGTTATAGAAAGTTTCCTAACAGAGTACAAATGCTCAAATACAATGTTAAATATGTTTTCAGAGTCTTCCTTTCACTTCCTAATTGCAGTAATCTTCCTTTGTCTATCTTAGTAATTATTCGTCCTCCTTCCTCATGCTGTATTTGAACATCTCCCATTTATTTGGCTGTTTTTCCTTTCAAAATCCCTAGGAGGCAGTGAAATGCTTTACAGCTTTACAACCAAGACACAGGGAGATTCAGGTAGAAGTTCTTTCGCAATTTAGAACCTAGATCCACGAAAAATTCCTACGCTGCCTACACGCATCCCTATTTCTAGATTAAATGTCTTCCGTAGATGACAAAAAGCGGAGATGGGTGTGCTCAGAACTGTCCCAGTTTTGACAGCAACAAACCTAAAGATGCCTCACTCTTGCAGGGCTCCCTCTGATCCATACCATACACCAGGTACAGTCCTGCAGTCTTTTCTGTGGAACTATCTGGTGGGCATGTCTGATCACACCAAATAGGTCAGAATCTCTAATCTTGTTGTGGGAAATTAATTTCCTTCTTTTATAGAAAGAGGATATGAGCCTGCCCCTCCCACCTGCAGGTAGCTGATCACATAATATTTGGGGTTTAGCACACTCGTTCTGGTTCATTGTAGCTGTTCACTAACGAAGAGGCATAATGAACAGAGCTTTCTACTTCAGCTGTTAGGGCACCTATCTGAGAGAGTCGAGACCAAAGTTCTAGTCCTTGTCTTGATGATTTTTAATATAAAATGCTTAACCCTTAGTTTGTTCCTGTGGCAAAAAAATGAACCGTGACCTCCCAAGTGAACTGGTAACTCTATATAAAGAAGCAGCATAGTCAGGACCACAGAGAGGGCAGGTGTACATGCCTAATGCCAGTTCCAGATTCCAAAACCAGTCCAAACAGAGCCTCCTTGTCATCAGTGGGATGGTGTCTAGTCCTTGATAGGAATGTGATGTAACCTACAACACTCCTCGGCTTTTCTGTTAGCTAAATCAGTGAGCTGACCACTTATTATCCGTTTTTTGTGGGTCTCAGTCCCCTTATTTTCCTTATTTTATGGTATAGGGGGCCTTGGCCATGCCTCATGGCTGTTAATTCTAGTCGGTGTTGGGCATTACAAAATACTAAGTGCTGCAGGGTTTGAAAAAAAGGGAGAGATGGAGTGTCTGTTGTAGGAACTGAGGTACTATCTTTGCAATTTTTAGCTCAGAGCTCATCCATGAACTATGATACGCAACTGTCTGTACAGGCAGTATTGATAGAGATAACGGTTGATTTCTTAGACTGCTTATATATTTCTGTGTATGTGGGTATGTATCTGTGTGTGCTTGAGAGATGAAATCAAGAGAACATTGGAACCTGCTTTGTGATATCAATAGTTCAACAGTATCGTCTCCAGTGGAGGAAAAGCAGGGGTTATCTGGACAGCGATCTTCACCGAGCAAAAGCAGCGCTAGAGAAAAAGGCTTAATTGGATTACATGTGTATCAGTTTGTTTAGAACTGAATGCAAATTGTTTGACAGGTAATAGCCACTGTGAAGGGCTGATGTTCCGACTTGAATCAGGACCCAAATTGTGAGATAAGTCTATCCAAAACTTATCGACTTACAAGGCAGACATTTACATTTGACTAGTTATTTGGACTGCAAGCACTTCTGGAATTCAGTTTAAATCATTTTATAGTAGATACCTGAAATGGATTATATGAATTGCATTGTGGAAGGTTCCTGTTTCAGGATGCAGAAGAGTAGATACTGCATCTTGAGTGTCTTACCAGGCCTATTCTAGCTTCTGCTCATTTACCAGGCCCTGCTGATGCCCAGCAGGATCTGGTCATACCCACCATGCATATGCCAGTTTACTCAAAGGGAGCAGGAGGCAAGGGGCAATAGTGAGCCCCAGTTATGTTTGCTCTGCACCAGTGGGGGATTCCTTCATCTCAGAAGATGCTCTAGAGTCACAGACCACGTTGCATAGTCTCAAGCAGCTGTGCAGAGCTGAGAGATCTGTTCTGACAAGATAACGTTAGTTTATTACAGCATGAGATGAGGATACCCTTGGACAGTTGCTTTTTAGTGTAATTTTGTCAATTGCACAGTAAATGACTGCTCTGTTAGCAACCATAACACCTTTGGAAAGCAAAAAAATTCTTTAGGACAAAACAAATACCTGTCTCAATTTCCCATAGTAAACTTGCAGGGATACAAAGACTTCTTTCTTCAAGTATGAAATAATTGCTTTTGAATGTCATGATCAAATTGTATGATTTATAACCCCATTGTCATTCATTCTGAATCCATAATTCATACATCATTATTATTATTAATTTGTGAGATATATGGGAGTTACTTGAAGGTCAGTATCTGACTCCAAGTCTCAAACATGCTTAGACATTTTCCTACATATTTTTTCCTTTGATCATATGTTTCTGTTCATCATTATTTTACAAAGTACTATTGAACACAGTTTAAAGCCATTGTTTTGAAAAAGTGATACTACTTTATATAAACCATAGTTGAAAGCTAAGAGAAAGGGCAGTTGTAATTGTCTGCTGGAAATGTTTGAATTAGATGTAGAGGAAGTGCCTGGTTGATAGTTTGCCATACATATGCATGGACAGATAGCAACATTTTTGATCAAACAGTTGTATATCTGATCTACACATTGACTGGACTAAAAGATAATATTTATTGTAGACTGATAAACGTGCATTTATTCCATGCTGTGTTCCAGTACAGCATTTAAGGAAATACTTTCCAATGTTCATTTACTCTTTTCCTAAAGACAACCAAGGCATTAAGCTATGCAAAAAAGAAAAGAAAATAGATGTCATGGCTGTCATTTGGTGGTAGGATAGTGTATTGGCTGCCTTCCTCCTCACACTGACTCTCTGGTGACCCACTGAAGTTGCAACAGGAATCAGAAACAGCTTGGAGACTATTAACTGCCATGAGTTCTCCTTTGCAATGGTCCTCTGCATTTGCAGCAAGTATGTCTCACAAGTAGTAATACAGCTTTGGGAGAGGGGAGTGATTTTTTTCTAATGTCATAATTCCCACTGGTAAATAAAAGGGAGGTACAAAAGAGGACAGGAAAAAAGATAGCAGAAGTTTACTGCAGTGGTTACTGATTGTTTTATAGCACCGAGCTGTAAGACAGCAACTCCACAGTTCCTTATGAGATAAATATTAGCCAGATACAGTGAACTGAAGAGTTGAGGAGTAGCGTAGAGACGGGTGTGGGAGACAATCTTATATTAGTCATTCCACCAAGGGACCGAACATCGTCATACCTCAGAGAAATAAGAAGCAGCAAACAAACCATTGTTCAAACCCATCCCTCTCAGGTCTTTTCTTCCTGAAAACTGGAAAGATGGAGAATAAGAGTAATTCAAGAGTCATTTGAGTAGATGGGAATAGGGAACAAATTCTCCTTCTATAGTGCTATAATTTAGCTGTGCACTTTGTATAGGGAAAAGAAAGTACTGGGAGAATAGAAGGGAAGAGCAGGGGACCAAGGGAGAAAATGGTCAAGGAACAAGAATTATACCATTTGTAGAAATTATTGTTTTGAAAACCTGCTAAGTCAGATACCAGGAAGGTGGGACTAATTCAGGGTTTTTTTAAATAGGGTATTCTTAACCATAATCATAAGTGTATAAATGGAAAAGTAGGTAGCTGTTTAATCTAGCTTTGTAAGGTCCTCTGGCTATAGTAAAATAGAATCACATTAGATAAAGAAAATTGTTTGTCTGCTTTTTCCAAGTATAAGTGTAATTAATAACCAGAACAGTTTATTTAAGAGGGTGGTGAATTTTCTATAATTTGAAGATTAAATCTTAATTGGTTATCCTTCTAAAAAAAATGTGCTTTATGAAATCTATGAAAAGGGCTTTTTGTGAATATGATAAATCTCAATAGGTAAAAGTTTGCAAAGTAGTCTGAAGACAAATTGCTTGAATTAGAACTGATAATAATATATGCCCTTCTGCTTTGTCCAATGCCTTCCATCTTAAGAGTGCTGTTCATTGTAAAAATTTAAGAATAATTTGAAAAGCATACAATAATGATAGCGTGCCCTGGAGCCATGTACTCTAGTGGTCCTTTATTTCTTTTTTTTTTCCTTCCAAGAATAGCAGAAGTATTATGGATTTTAACAAATAAGCCAGAACTGTTAAACAAAGGAAAGACATTTTGTCATATTTCACATTAAAATTATTCAGGTCCTATGCTGAAAAAAGACATAATGCTTACAAAACACAAGTTCCATGTGCTCCCACAAATGAAAAAGCCTAAACTCTCTGATTGTATAGTTCTTAACGATACTTCTGGTAAGATACTGATTTTATAGTTGCTGCATAACTTGCGAAATGCACAGTATTCTAGCTAAACAGAACAAACATTTCATTTGTACCTCTGCTAGATGCTTATGATGCCTGTTCAGGATCACAGTCACTTTTCAGATTCTGAACATTAGTGAAAAATGTAGCATGTACAATGAAAAAAGTCAGCAAAACCAGATCTCTTGTAAAATCTTCATCTGACAAACCCTGCTCTAGTTTGTATAATGCTTGAAGTATGTGGATTTGCAACTACAGAGACTACCGCCTGGCATGTCCTGTCAGGATTTCAGCCATGCTCTTGATACCATTTGTTCCTTTATTTGAAGTCCAGATCTCTATTGAGTGAAAACTCATGGGAGTTCTTGATATTTCATGCGTGACCAAATGCAACCAACCTGTAACAGTCTAAAAGTGTTTCCTATATACTCTCTAAAAACTTGTTATTATTATGTAGCTGTACGTAGGTAAGTGTCTTCATGTGTGGGAAAAGCATATCAGAGCCACAGACAAAATGAGAATTTACAGGAATATTAATATGGAGCTAGTGTCATTTGGTTCCTAACCATCTTCTGAGGGCATGTTCCACAAAAATTCTCTACTGCTTTGTAGATTTTGGACTATTCATTATCAAGAGAAAAGATTTCTCCTAAAATCAGTTTGTCTAATATGTCCTGTTGGAGAACTACTGTATTAGAATTTGGACTTTAGACATTACAGTATTCTAAATAAGTGTATATTGTTTTCTGTGTAAGAAAAGGGAAGGCGAAAAAAGAAGAGGAAAAAATGAAAGAAGTTACTGAGATTATGTCTAAAGTCCAGGATGAAATAAACCTAGAAAAGACACATTGGCTACCACCACCTGACTTCATTTTACTGGATTACATTAATGATGCTACCAAAACAATTCTACCACTGACTACTACTCGGGAACAAGTTGTGGCTCTTGCACAGTGAGTACCAAATTGTATTTCCATAAATAATGCAAATAAGTGGAATTGGTAAAATAACAGTTTTCTTATCTAAGGACCACTTTTCCAAATTTTTTATTTTTCCCACCCTTAATTTGAATCCAAATCAGCTTTGGTCCAGAATTTTGACATAATTTTAGATTTTTAAGCTTCTTGTTTCTAATTTTGTTGTAATTAGTTTATTTTTTTAAAATAAAATATCACTTGCAACAAAAGAGTACAAATTTCTCGTTTTGAAAATATTCATATGGACAATTTCATTTTTTTTCACATTTGTATATCTGTACTGGTCCTTTCCAATGAACACATCAGCTGCATATGGCATCTATATCATCATGGAACAGGAGAGACCCAGGTGCTGCAGAGCCTAAAAGCACAGGGTAAAACCCTAGCCTAATACTGAGACTGTTGCAATTTATATGCATCACGTCTGCTGTTTCTCGTACAATCTCTCTTGCCTAGTTGGTTTGGAAACCCCTTAGGACATAAACTCTCTTGTATTTTGTTTTCCTGTAGATCCAAAAGCACGAGACGTTTTTCTAGTGTGATTTTTAGATGCTACTGTAATTAACATCCTGATGATTTAATAAGTGCCAGAATATTGCAATGGTGCATGTACAGACTGTTGTTTTCAATGTGTGATTCATTAGTTACACTGACTACTCAGCCTGGGCACCAATCACTGTCATCTCCAAGCAGTGTGTCTGCTTTCATCTTCTCCTTAGTTTAACCTTTTCTATCATCTGAGCAGTTTCCTGGCTACCTCCTGAATCCGGAGAGTTTGGCGTCAGATCCCGCTGAGTCTCACAAAATTTGTTTCTTCTACTAACTCTCATTTTTAATGAAGTGGTCTAATGTCATATGAGGAATGACTTTTCTGTTGCTTGCAAAATTTGACAGGACAGATATTCATCCTTAAACTATCCAGCTGTGTATAAATCACGCTGCCTTCCTCAAGGTGGAATCCATAAAATGCTCTTTCAAATCCGTTCTTCAAACACACCAATGAAATACTTGCAGACACACAACCCAGTGAAACAATCACGGGAAATTTGAGGAGAATGTTTTCTGTGGGGATTTTTATGTGTACGTTCCATTTTAAGCGGCTGCCTGAATAGCGTGTGTTGAATAGGAAGAGGAGGAGGAGGCAGCTGCAGCAGCCCTGGGCAGCCCGGCAGCTTGAGCAGAATTCCCGCTGTGCTCACCGGGGAGGGAGCCGGCGTGGGTGAGGGAGCACGCAGTACTGCTGGCCGTCTCCTCTTAAACAAACGCAGCACGCCTTTGTGCGCACGCGAGAGTGGCACGCGTGTAAGCTCAAGAAGCTTTGCTCTCTTTATGGAGGGCTGGCTGTAGGTACAAGCAGCATTAGTGACTGCCTGGAGCCCCCCAGTTCTTCAGGTTCACCCACTAATTCCCAACTTCAAGATACCACATCTAGCCTGCGCAGTGCTAACCCCTGCGCCCATGCTCCTGCAAGCAGTCCCTCCTCAGGCCCCAGGCTTGGAGAAATGCGGCCTCAGCGGTTGCCTTGCACTCACTGTGAGCACAGAACCTGTTCACACTTACTGCAGAGGAGGTGATGCAGAGTTTTGCTCCCTGTCTGAAGCAGTGGCTTGTGATTCCCACGTCAGCTCTGCAACACCTTGTCCAGAGCGAGGGCCCTCGATAACACTTGCGCCTGTGACTGAGGACGCTTTTGGGGAAGAAGGGTCTTCACATGTGGGGGCCGCGCACAGGGGAGGTGAAGGTGTGTGAACGAGGAGGTAGGGACTTACAAATCAGAGCTTGATCCTGTGTGTGCACAGTCACCCAAAAGACATGCTTTTGGCAGTGTTTGCACAGATTGTGAGTTCTGATCTTCTGTTTCTTTGGCTGAGCCATTCTTGTTAACGGATAAACACATGCCCCTCACCCCCCAAATGCTGGCTTCAATATCAGCAAGCACACGTAGAAGTTGAAGTACCCTTTCTGGGTATTATTGCTTTCCTGTGTTGGGATCGTTGCCTGTGGCTTTATTTCTGTCATATGTATTCTCACACCTTTATTACTATTTGAAACAAATGAAAGGGCTAGGGATTGTAATACTTAGCTCACGTCATCTCTTAGCTGTAAAGGTGAACACTAGCTTCTGAACTACTTCCTCAGTAAGTAACTGCTACTGGGGTTTTTTCCTGAGGACTTTGTGCCTATACCAGACCTCTCCCGAATCTCTGCTGCCAGCTGTTGCACCTTGGTTTAGGTCTGTGACAAATGTGAATGACCTGTGTTATGGTTACCTGTATTTAACAGTGAGCATATTTAAACTACAAGTTACTAAATAAAATAACTAAAGCAAACATAGTGAGAGTATTAAAGTCTTATGTGTAATTCACTTATTACTTGTATACATTTCATTTTGCTATATTTTTGTGATAAATACAAAAGGAATTATAGATGTAATTGATCCCGGTATAAATTGGAACAGGTTTGTTGCAGACAAGATGGGTGGCCCAATTGAAAGAGACAAACTACATGACTTCAGCTGGGAACTTCACATAAGTGAAATAGAATTTGAACTGAAATGCAACGTTGTGCCTATCGGGAAAGTAAAAAAAGGGACGTTCTACCACAGGGCATTACTTTTCAAGGTACATTAACGTTTATTTTACAACATAACATCATTGATGTTAATTGGATATTATAAACTAAATTATACTTGCATCAGTATGATATTTATATTCATGTAAAATCTTTTTATACACTTAAGTAATTTTTCACTGGCAAAGTTGATTTCCCAGTGAATGAAAGCCAACATCGCATCTTCCTGTAAACATTTTTGTTGTCATTAAATTGTCTTAGGTGATATCAGCAGAATACTTGATAAATGGCAAAAAGCCAAAATATTTGATTGGGAGTCAAAACATTTTATATTTTCCGTAAACTGCAAAATATTGAATTATGCAGTTTCCTTTTTTTTTTCCATGCTGCAAATGTAAACTTGTTGGGACAATTTTTACTTGGTATCTATCCAGTATTCTGTGACAGGATATAACAGCTTTTATGTTCTAGTTTCTTAGACTGGGAAAATTAATTTCTTCTGTCTTTATGTGAAGATGTACTGGTGCAGCCTGCTTATCTGTCCTGTCCTTTTTCCTTGCCTGTTGAGGAGCTGAACTTTTCTCCTTCTTGGATGGAAAGGAAAAGAGAAGCGAGGGCCGAGCACATTGAGCGAGAAGGACCTAGGAAACAGTACAAAGGAGAAAGAACACAATCCTAAATTTATGGTGTCCATGGGGAAAGAAAGTTCCTGTCGCATTTTGTGGAGGTCTAAGGGCATGAATTAATTGTGCTGAAGCAGCACTGATGTTTTCTTACCCTCCCCTGTCCTAGGAAACCTTTGTAGGGATGGCTCATCTCTTTTAAAGCCACAGCAGCCTAAGCAATGGGTATCCTTGTCCGTTTGTAACAAGTTAGAAATCTTTCCTGATTTCATTCCTTCACAGCAGATGCATTCTGAGAAAGCAGTTTTGTAGCTGGAAACCATTACAGGTCTGTCAGTGATAGTGCAGCAGAGAGGAGAGGCAGGTGTTTCATCTAGCAGATGCTTGCCTCGCATTTCATTGCTTCCCACATTCGCGGGGCTGAAAAGCAAGGAGTGTGCTTTGGAGTGAAGCAGCAGTCCTAAACTTACACTGATAAAAATATTACATTTTTACAGTTAATATTTCATACTAGCTATATGTGTGCAACGTACCTACACCTCATTGCTTGCATAGACAGTTCTTCAAAATGTTATTCAGAAATAAGTCTTCCAACTAGAAAAAAACATTGCTGGGTACTGTGGGTGTTGCACTTCATTTGAGATCTGAAGGACTGGCTGATAAACAAATCTATCAGTGTCTGAAAAGAGGTAAAATGAGTATTTTTTCATGATGTGCGTAGAATATGGTAGAATAACATTTTAAACCCTACACTTTCTAAGCAGAACCAACAATAAAGATTGGGAGTTTGGAACACTTTAGAGATTTACAAAGTCTGTTTCAAGAAAGCTCTTGGCCTTTCACGTATTTGTTTTCAAGTGTCTCTTGGCCTTGCTGTGTATTGCACAAGCTACTTGTATTAACTGTGATGATTAACTCCTTTTCCTTTCCTTTTCAGGTGATAGCAGACAGAATTGGCATTGGCTGCAGCTTAGTTCGTGGCGAGTATAACAGAGCTTGGAATGAAGTTAAACTGGTTGATGAGTCTCCTCAAGGAATAGCTGGGCTTCTGCTCCCTCCTCAGGAGTATATTGTAGATCTAATGTTTGAGCCAGGCTTCTTGATGAAACAGGGAAGTGCAGAGGCAGATTGGTACAAACGCATTTAATCATCTTGACAAATTTCGCCAAAATAACTATTTTAAAGATGTTTGCAGTGCTAATATTTATAAGACATAAGGGGTTTCAGGTCCAGCTATCAAAAAGAAACATATATCTGGTATGTTGTCTTAAACATATTTTAGGTATCCAACTTCAATGCTTAGAAACTTTGTTAATTTTTTTGTTACTGTTTTAAGACTAAACTGTAAAACTACAGATTGAAATTTGGTAGATCAAGAATATTTGGTACATGTTAACATTATAATGCTTATTAAATAGGTTTAAATTATTTCCAAAATACAGTATAATCTTTTTTTCTTATGTTCCTTCAACTCCCATGCACATTTATAGGAATTATATCTCCATTAAACGAGAAAATATAACATCTGGTGAAATAACATGTCCCCTAAAAACAACAGCACAATTTCTTGTGTGAAATAACCCAAGAACTGAAAGTTAAAAGAACTACGATAACAGTATACTGCCAGCCTCTGTAGAAAACATCCCATTTATATTTCTTGGAACTTGGCAGAGTTAATAATTATGGATAATAACATACTCTGGATGAAAGTAAATACTGTTTGTCCTGGCACAGAGAAGACAGATGATTGATAAGTTATTGCTTGCAATCTCCCTTTAAATTTTTCATTTTTCACTGGAAGATAAAATGGACTCTGAGAAGGCAGCAGTTTTAGACAGGGAATTTGTATTTCTTGCAGCCTTTGGTAGCGTAGTGCTGCTGAAGTGTGGTGGTGCATGTAAGACAGATAAAACACTGGCTAGAACACTCTCTAATAAACACTTTCAGGAATGTACTGAAGCAGAAGATTTCAGGGAGCATCACTATCAAGTGAGCTTATTGTAGAAAACTGAGCAAAAGTCCTGTACAGAACTTAGGCCAATGCAGACAACATGGTGTAAAACTGAATTTCATAAGACCAGAACGCCAACAGGGCATTTACTTCCTGCCCACCAGAAATGTGATAAAGAAATTTGGGACCTGTTTTCTTTTAGTTTTAGTCTGCTTTGGTTTGAGGACGTTTATATCTTTTGTATTCATTACTGCTCATGAGCAGGATCCCACCACTCCCCCTCCTTCCTCCTCTGACATGCAGCATGATTTTCTGGTAGCCCTTTGGGGAACACTTTATCTTTCTGTTGTAAATTCACTTATATGGCCTCATGTTCATTTTTTTAGCTTATGTTCAGCAGTACTCTAGCCATCAGAATGAAAAAGAACTCTGGAAACAAAATGCATGATACACTGGCAGAACTGAGCGGAAGGTGAGAATGTTTCTTATCATGCTATGGAGCAGGCAGGGGACTGATGACAAGTGATATGCTGTCACTGACAGGAATGACTGGATGTAGATCCTGCAACTTTGAAAGTGTACCAAATGGAAGTAAAATAAAAATTAATTTCTTCTAGTTACATTTTGTATAGTTTTCCTACATTAGAATTTCACTATTTTGTATTGGAACCATAATGTTAAAGTGTCACTTAGTCTGTTTGAGAAGGTCTTGGAAAAAAAGTAATTTCTGTTGTTTCTAATAAAAGTAAATATATAAAAAAACAACAAAATGTAAGTTTTTAAAAACAAAATTTGGGAAACTTCTATTCTAGACATAAAAGGTTACTTTACATAAAATGATTAGCTAAACAAATGAAAAAAATACTGCACTTGTATAATGCAGACTTTGATGAAACAAAAATGTTGGATAGAGGTTGTTTTACGTCCTTCACAATTGTTAGCTTTGTGTTAGCTGAGTTCTGTCACTTCAAAATTGTAATGCACTTGGGTGTCAGAAATGAGATCTAAGTGGAATATAAACACTTAAATCCCAAATTGCATTTTGAAATCTGCAGTTCAGTTGTCAAGTCAGTCAAGAGATGCCACGCTTTTAAGTTAAGAATTCCCCCCAGCCTTGCTAAGAGCAGCCCTGCTCACATTTGTTCCAGATCTGAATCAGAAAACAAAATGTTCAAAAGTTTCTTCAGGCTCAGCTGGGTAAAAATTCCCAGGACATGCCCAGCACGTACCATTTGGCTTGGGCCATGCCTGAGTGAAGTCATCTCCTACCTTCTTTTAAAAAGCAGATGGGGAAGTACCTCCTGTTTCCTTTTACGTAATAGTTCAGTGGGCAGATTAGATCAGTCAGTCTGGACATAGGAGTCAGGCTTGATGACTAAACATGAGCAAAACACTCTGCAGCTACCTAATGCTAGGATGTATTCTAGGCACTAACTGCTCTTCATGCCTCTTTTTGAAACTCTGCTATCATGTAGAAAAGAACGCATGATTAATAGCCTATAAAAACTGAAAAGTTGAGCAACATCTTCAGCCTAAGATTGGGGGAACAATTAGGTTTTTCCTTTGGGAAAAGAGTCTGGGTCTCCAGTGCCCATTGCCAGACATGTTCTTCTAGTTTACTGAGTGTCTGCTGTAAGATGTAGAAACCGTACCCTACGTAGAACAACACCCTCCTAGATAGGTGCTCTCCTGCAAGGCGAAAAGCCCTCTTAAGAAAAGAGAGGAACTGAAACGAGGTTCATTCCTCCGGAGCTGTAACCACTGGGCAGTTACACAAAAGTAGGCATGGTGGCCAGTAGCTGTGCAGAATGAAAACTAAATGAGATGTGCTCAGCTTCTTGAAAGACAGGGTATGTAGGTGATTATCCCAGGACAGCGATGCGGACTGTAGATCCTGATTTGAAAGAAACACGTCTAAGTCATCCTTACTTACTGTGCTTCTGAGAGAAGCGAGCATGGAGGCACTGTAGGTCTTGGTTCCTCCTGTTTGCTGGAACCACCCAACTTCCTACTGACTGTGCTGAACTTAGGCAGTGCCCTGCTCAGCTTGCTGCTTCCTGCAGGGTCTGTTCCAAGGCATCTGGGACCGACACACTGCGCATGCATGCGTACCCACCCGCCCCTGCCATTCATTTTCATAAAAAAGGATTTTGGTTTTGATTTGGCTTTGAAAAACACAATGCTTGGTATATAGCACATCTGCATATCAAGAAACACAAAATTGGACTGTGTTGATGAAAGGTCAGGCATGATTTCTGCTTTTTCTAATGAGTGTGAACCAGCAAAGCAGCAGACCAAAATTGGTGGCGCTGTCAATGTGGGTTCAAGTTGCACTAGAGATTTGGGTATGAGAGTCTAACGCTTTGACCCTGCACACTTCTCTGTCTTTGCTTGTTCTGTGTGTGCCGGGACCATTGTGGCTAAGGGGATTCTAAGTGGATAATTCCAGGCTTTTCAGACCAGTTTTTGGCAGAGACTCAGTTCCGAGGGGTGCTTCTGGTTAACACCTTGCTGCAGAAATGGATTCTTCTGGTTTTCCCCAAGCAGGTGCAGAGGCAGTACGGATTGCTGGCAGCAGCGGTACCAGCACTTCCATGCTTCCCTTCTGTGGCCCTTGATCCCTGAGTAGGAGCACTGAGGTTAACTTACACTTGTTTTATTGTTATGCTGGCAGGGAACAACTGCTGTGTAGTGGATAGAATTAACGGATTTCAAATAGTTTCTGATTACTCAGTGCTAAACTGCAGCAATGGCCGAACGTCACCCCTCAAACTGTGTACTCCCTTCAATAGTAGAAACTGAAATGAACTCTTCCTCCAGTAAATCTCTGTTGCTGATTAACCCTGGATCTTGAGAAGAAATCAAGACTGTTAGAGCAAAATAGGTGTTCTTTTCAGATCCAAGAGGAACTTTTATTCTGTTATTTTTGATATCAAACTTGGCTTTAGGCAAAAAAAACCCCAAAAATTATTTTGTTAGTAAATACAAGTTTTGAATGGTGACATATTATTTCATCCATAGCCTCTTCACGTGAATCTGCATCTCTTCTACCACGTGATTCATTTCTCCATAAATCCAGCTCATTAACAACACCTAGTGTCAAAATGGAGACTATGCAGAGGCAGTAGACATTTCCTGGCTAACGTGCCAACTTAGTTAAGATAGAAGAGTGCATTAATACATTTATTATATTCATAGCTCTCTTGCTGGTTTATACAAGAGTCTTCTCCCCAACAACTCATTGGCAGTACCTCTTTTCCTTCAGATGGCTGAAATTAAGCAAAAAAAAAAAAAAAATCCCTGTATAATTCAAAGCCTGAAGACAGCATATGCCATCCCAGTGAAGTAGAAGAAAGCATAAGGATGGATGTCCAGGGTCAAGCAAAGAGTCTGTCCAAACAAGTAGCCCATCTCCAGCAGTGGTTGATGTAGAAAAGGTGAAGAACATGGCAGAAATACATTTCTACATTTCCAGAATACATATATCTCCTAGTTTTTGTAGTAGAAGAGACAGTGCACATTCATTTCCTACTTTGCTTCGCTATAAGGCTTGTGTTCTTATGGGTCTCCATCCTATCTTCTCTCAGTAAACTCTTCCCTAAGTATACTTACATGCAGGGTATATTTAATCACTTCTTGTGTGGCCTCCCACCCATACCTTTGGTCATTGTCCTGTTCCTTACTTGTCTCTCTTTTAGTTTTACTGCATTTTTAGAGGTGAGATGTCCATACAATATCAAAGAATTTGTGATGTATTCTTTTTTTTTTTCCCCTAATAGCTCCTAATATCCATTTACAATTGACAATTACTGAACACTTAGCTACATGATTTCCTAGAACGAAGTGATGTGGAGGAGGAAGTGTAGCTCATTTCGAGAATCTTACTGTGCAAAGTCTAATAAGGTGTCTTTAAAGTTCTGCAGATTAGCTGCAAAGTCAGTGGTTACAGTGGGAAGCCTAACCTGTATTGATATCGTAGATCTCAGGATGCTCTGCATAGCTCTGTATAGCTCCGTGGTCTTCCTGAACCCTAACATCAGTCAAGGTTTCCTTATGATTCCATGACAGATAACTCCACTGCCGTGCAATAGGTGAACAAGCAGGAGATACCAAATTGACTCATCACCATGGAAAAAAAAGAAGAAGGTTGTCTCTGGAAAGTGTATGCTCAGTATGACATAGCGGTTCATCCTCCA